CAAATTTGTTACCTTTTGTTTGGGATGAAGATACAGTTAGGTGGAGTTCTTTCCTTTACTACCTAAATTCCTGTAGACAGAAAGTAACAGTGGAATGTATGTAATTGAGCTATTTCTGATTCTTTCAGTTCAGATTTGAAGCTGTAGAACATTTTGAAGCAAATAGATTTGAGAATGATTACATTTGTATCTTGGGCAGCTGAGACTGTTCCTGTGAGGTATTCTGCTGTGACAAATGCTCCAAGCAACCTTGTTTAATCTTTGATATCTAATTTGTGTAGGCGTCGACCAGAAGATTATGATATTCATAACAGCAGAAAGAAACCAAGGATTGACTATCCCCCTGAGTTTCACCAAAGACCAGGTTAATATCTTACTATGAAGATTTGTGTGCACCAATTCATGAGTATTTTCTCTTTTAGCATATCCTCGTTAATTCAAAAGTAAAATACTGATATAACTTGGATATGAAAATGTGACTTGAAACAAGTGCTGCCTGCTGCTTTAACCCACCTCTCGAAGAAGTCAGTGACGCTGTTTCACTGGTTTGAGAGCTGAGTTTAACCTAGGCTGAGCCCTTTTTAAAAGCGCTGAATTGTGTACATTGTTGTGAATGGTCTTCTCAAGTGTTGTGTTAATGTGGGCACAAAAATAGATCTGACCTACTTGTCAAGACGCTAATCATCAAATGAAAACGTTTGAGAAATTTCCACCTGGGAGGATCAGCTGAGACTGCGTGACTGGTAGCCTCTGTGTGGAGATGATGGTAGACATTCAGTTATGTTTTCTGAGAGAGTTTTTTTTACAAGCTTGACATGAGTTAGGCAGGAGGATGTTGCCCTGCATTTTTACAAGAGGATCTAATGATGAAGGGAAGTTTGTTGTTCCCTAGAAAGAAATGTTTGCAGCGGTACTGCAGCAACAGCACTGCTCATAGCAGCCTTTTTTTTCTTTCAGAAAGCAGCTATTAAGAATTTGTTGCATTTAGTCTACCAAATTGTGCTTCACATCTCTTAGAAAAGTGCATTCTGCTATTTCAGTCATAGATTTCTAAACCTGTTCAGAGCATGCCTGTATTGTCTGCAAAGCATGCCTGGCTTGTCTGCAAAGACTGCATTCTTTCATGCAAAAAGTGTTGTTGCTGCTCTGCATCTTTCCAAGGCCATTGTTTAAAAAACAGAACAAGATTTTTTAAAAAATAATGAAGGTCACTATTTTATTGTAGTGCAAGCGTGCCTGATGTTTTGCACCATTCTGCTGAGCTCTTTAAAGGGATTTACTGAAGCTGTAAGAATTCTTTGCCCTGTGGGGCTTTTCCAGATAATTTTAGTTTGTTTTTAATTTCCTGTGTAGCATTGTATCCAACACATATTGGGAAATGAGCTTTTTACTGAATACGCATTCTACTGAAGATATATAGTTAGGAAGTAGTAACAGCCACGTGCTAAATGCCTGGAGGCAGCACTCTTCAAATTCATGTGCATTCCTAATTCATTTGACTAAATTTCAAGTCTTTATTTGCACAGTTTCCCTCTTGCATATTTGTTGGTACTGTGTGCAAGTTCTTAATGGGTTTGTTGATGTCACTTTTTTATTATACTACTTGTCTTCATTGTCTGTTAGGAGCTGTAAGTTTTCAAGAGTTGTTTTAAAAGTGAGGGTAGTAGCAGATAGACATAATTTTGTAGTAGCCACAAAATGAAAGGATACTTTCTAATGAATATAGTTTTTAAGATTTGTTAACTTGAGACAATAAATTGAATTAATACTGCTTGATGTTCGAACAGGGTATATAAAGGATCCCAGATATCCCGAAATAGACAGGTAAGGTGTGTTCATGTTACTCATTTTATGTCCTGGTAACTTGTCTGCACAGATAAGTTGGATTTAGTTCTGCAAATTTTTATTCCCAACAGACGATTTTCAGGAGTTCGACGAGATGTATTTTTAAATGGGGTAAGTTACTGCATGCAATTTTTTTGGGCAACTTTTTATGCATCTTTCTGCATTTCCAAAGAACACTCAACACAAATTTTAATATTACTGTCTTTCATTTTAGTCCTACAATGATTACGTGAGGGAGTTCCACAACATGGGACCACCACCACCATGGCAAGGAATGGTTTGTGTCTTGTTGAATTTGGTTTTTCTCCTTAACATACAGCTTTTTTGTTTCCCCCAAAAGGAGCCTGCCATATTCAGTGTGCTCTCAACTCTTCACTTTTCCTAAAATCTACCTTTGATGTAACAGTGTAAAAAATTTTAGGGGAAAAGTATTGATAATAAGTATTTTAAAATTTACTTTTGACAGTAGTCTGGCATTTTTAGTAAGCTCTGAAGAAATAGCAGAACTCTCCTTTAGCCTAGATGGGAGGGTGTGATCACATTCTGTATCCTGCTAAATGTTGATGGTACTTGGCTCTCAAACAGTAAATGCATCAAACATGTGGACTTGTTGAAGAGGCTCATGGAATGGGCTGCTGGGCTCTAGTGTTGTGCAGTGGCTTGCTTTTGGCTATGGCAATGAAGCATGCAGGAAACTAGCAAAATGTGCTGCGCAACCTAATTAAACTAGGTCTTTCTGTATTACAGCCTCCACTGAAGTGCACTTTTTTCCCAGAAAGATGAGTGGACATATCTACAACTATGTAGATAGTTCACTTGTACAAGTTGTACAAGTTGTGGCCTTCACGGCAAGAGAAGTAGTCATAGTGAGGTTATTTTGATTGTATTTAGTAGTAAGTCTGGCCTGATTTTGTATAACTATAATGAGTCTTTTGGCTCTTGTTTGTACTGGCAATGAGCAAAAAGCAGTGCCGAATACAGAGATGCTCCTATAGCCTCTCATTTTTGTCAGCTGAAACACAACTCCTTACAACTGAAGGAAGTAAACAGGGTTGTCAGATGGGGGGGAAAGCAGTTTTTTTAAACAGTTAAGCCTCCAGAAACTCCCTTTTTTTTCTCCTCCCCTCTTCTGCATGCAGTCCAAGTAGTTGTCCTAGAATCCAGTGCTTTCATTTACTTTCTTTGTAACAAAAATGCAAGCCAAGATGCTTTTTTACTAGGCAAAGGAGGACTGTGCAGATTGAAGAAATGAAAGAAATCAGCCAAAATAGGTTTTGTTAAAAACAAAAAGAGGGCTAGCATTTTGTCAAATCATTTGACTTGCAAATTATTTGGTTTTTAATTTAGAATAGGAAGAAATTCATAAGGAATGAGTATGACTTGTTTCTGTAAGGGCTCTGGTTTGGGCAGAATTCACATTCTATGTGCAAGGGTTTAAAAACTCAGAACGGAAACTGCCACATTAAAATAGAAGTTTTGTGTATGGTGTCATATTGAGGCAGATGCAGAAGGAAGATGCATGTTGGACTGTGGGGGGGGTGGTTACCAGACTTCTCCAAGCAATGGTAGAGAGGGAGTAAAGCATGCCAGCCCAATGAAAAGTAGTCTGCTGTTCAGTTAGGAGGCTGTGATCAGATTTATATAGATGCTGTGTTTTCCATCTGAATGATGCACTCCTTGTGTGCATTCCTTTGCTTCAACAAACTTCCTGTAACTTTCTTGTAGCCACCATATCCAGGTATGGAGCAACCACCACACCACCCTTACTATCAGCACCATGCACCTCCACCTCAAGCTCACCCTCCATACTCAGGACATCATCCTGTACCTCATGAAGCGAGATACAGAGACAAACGAGTAGTAAGTGTCCACACAGAGGGGATGCAAGTCTGCAGGCTGAAGTAGGAATCTGGGGTCCAGGGTAGCCTAGCTTGAGCTTTGTTTGCTATGATAAACAGCATGTTTATGACCTGTATTAGAGTTCCTTGGAAAGATCAGTTGTTTAGATTGACTACACACTTACAGCAAATTTGAAAAGCCTTTCTCTCCCTGATGAGGTGGAGGGGAAAAATTCTCATACTCTTAAACTGAGGTGTATGCTTAAATTGGCTTCCGGCTTGTCCACCTCTGAACATTTTCATCCTGAAACCTGGTTTGAATAAGGACAGGGCTGTATCTTTGCTCGTGCTCATTGGCAACAAATTACTTTATCAGCAGAATTTTGTGTTTTAAAAGTTCTTATAGACACATCAGAAAACAGGGTGGATTATTAATTTTCTGTTAGCTGGCTTGAAAGCTCCTTAGCTTTCAGGTCTCTTGCTGGTGTCTGGCATTTGAACCCCAGATTCTGCACATGGATGCTGGACAGTTGGTTTGGTTGGGTTTGCCTTTTTTTAAGTACTGGGCTTTCTGAGGAGTTACAGCCAGCCTTATAGATAAGGGAGGGAATTCTCATCTGGGAAAGAAAATAGCAGAGCTCTCCTTTCATCACAGCACGACTATGACATGAGAGTAGATGACTTCCTTCGCCGCACACAAGCTGTTGTCAGCGGTCGGAGAAGCCGGCCCCGAGAGAGGGACCGAGAGCGGGAGCGCGACCGGCCTCGAGATAATCGGAGAGACAGAGAACGGGACAGAGGCCGCGATCGGGAAAGGGAGAGAGAGAGGATTTGTGACCGGGACAGAGACAGAGGTGAAAGAGGTAGATACCGAAGATAATCTATCTGGAACAGTGCTCACTTGAATCAAAAAAAGCTTGTATTTTTTTGTGTGTTTACAAGTAGTACATTTTATTTTCAGCTGTCTACTCAAAGTTCATTGTGTAGAAGGATTTATAATGACCCTCTCTATTCCAAGCATGCAGTGAACTATGAACTGGAAAAATTCAAATAGGCCAAAAATAAAATACACAAAGCTGACACACAACTTCATGTTTCTATTGGAACAAAGTTGGAAGCAGCTAAGAATGTAGATATTGATTAATTCTCAATAAGTGTTCTACTTAGTGACTTCATTCTAGGTTTTTGAATACTGATGGATAACTGCCTTTTTTTTTTTTTTTTTTTTTTTTGCTTTATGTTTTCTTCCTGTAGTTTCATATGGTTCGATGGGAGAATGCTGCTATCAAGTATGCAAATACTGAAGTATGATCTTTCTTTTTTTTTTGACGGTATGGCAGTGTTGTAGCAGCCTTCCCCCCCCCCTTCCCCCCCATTTTTTAACCCTATCTGTGAAGTCAAGTGATTTATTTTCAGTCTTCAGTAAGGAAAGCAATATTAAGAAGACACTATTGATGCCTAATTTTTAGCCTTTTTTAAAAATCTTCCTGTGTTCAGTAACATTTTGGTCAGTTCTCTTGTCTGGTCTCTTTCCAAAATGTACACATTGCTTGGAATGTTCACAACCTGCGTGCGTGGAACCAGAAAATATTGCTGTATTCTACATTGCTACCTTTTTTTTTTTTTATAAAAATAAATTGGTAATTATTGAAATGTTTAAACCTCCATGTCGGGTTTCTTGGTTTTCTAAGCTTGACAGTTTGGCTAGATTCCAGAGTTCTAGGAAAAGATCTATGTTCAGAAATAGTTCAAGTGTTCTTTGTGGTAAGCAAAACTGATCTGAAGCCTGAATTTAGGAAAAGGACTCTTGATATAAAAGGCAATTGCATTTCTGTTTCCCTAGTGAAGTGGCCAATAACTCCTGCAGCTCATCAGAGTTAAGGCCCTACGTCTTCAACTTAATCATATGATCTTCAAGCTGTTGAGAGGCTGTCCTCAGCCACAACATACCTGTCTCAGGAATGTGTTAGTCCTGTAAGATCCAGAGTCTGTACCTGTGTTCTTTGTAGCGATCACTTGTTACTACTTTTAAATAAGAAATGTTTTATCTATGCCAATGGTAAAAATGTGTGGGGGGGGAAATTAAAACTTGTACTGAAAGTTCTTCAGTTTATCCAGCAATTTCCAACTTTCCAAAACTTGTAAGAGTAGCACTGCCTTGGTAGACTTTTTCAAACTTCCTTCAGTGTCTCCTCATGTAACAAATCCAGACTGTGCTTTAAACACCCCCAGCTCCACCCTGCTGGGTGCTGCAGCTATTTTTACAAATGCCAGGATAGGACTGGCCACTGTGTGGCATTTGTGGAAATGTGGTTTATTGATCTGGCAATAGTTTGTGCTCTGCTTATTTTAGTCTACAGTCACAGTAGACATCTACATATGTTCGACAAAAGGTTAGATCTCCAATGTACAAATATGTTTGGCTTCCTTAAGCAGAACTTGAGGCTGAATATGTGTTTGGGCTCCTCAGCACAGTTTATTGTGCACAGAGAGGTAATGCCTGCTAGCTGGAGGATTAGATCAGTGTGTCAGATTTAGAATACATTCTGTGTCTAATTGGAGAAATGTGTCACAGACCACCCTCGTACTTTGATATTTTTCTCTGCATTGTATACAGACTCTAAAATGAAGAAGGGGTTTTGGTTTCGAGTTTTTTTTTGTTTGGGTTGGTTGGTTGTTTTAGTTTTTAAATTCAGTACTAGATAAGCCAAATTACTCAGAGTAGGTTACAGAAATGATGCACCTCCTTACAGGGACTGTGGAGCACTTTGTCCAGCTTTTCCCATCTATCCTGTTTCCTGTGTCCTTTGTTAGCCCTGTCTGACCAATACCTGTGCAGCATGCTGGGAGGCTTGCTGGCCTTCTGGCATCCAAACCAGCATCTCAGCAACTGTGTGACAGGAGCTCATAGTGATCCAGCCTGATGGAGCTGTGCCTAGGGACCCACCCACCTCTCTGAATAGTTACAGCAACCCCTTTCTGATTTGGGGCCTTAGTGTCATGCAGTTCCCCTTTCTATTCACTGTGCATATTCCTGGTTATGATCCCATCATGACAACAGGAACAGTATACCAGAAATTGCCATGATATGCAGTTTTCTTCTTGTAACCCCTGTATAGTTTGGAAACAGCTGAGCTTTTGTAAGCGTTGTAGTATGAAGAAGTTTAAGCAGATGTTGAAACATGACAATGCTAATAAAAAAAATCTTGATGTGGCATAAGGAATTTTATTATGTAAACAAATAATCATGTTCTGTTTGAAAACAATTCCAGAGTATTTAAAAATATCAGTTAAAATCTGAGCGGGATTTTTCTTGAGTAAGCTGGCACAGCAGTGAAATAACCTTACCTGGAACAGGAGGCCTGGACTAGCAGCATTTTACAGGTATCTTTAACACCTGAAGAGGCACTACGCTTACTACCACTCCTGTCTGACCCAAGAGTAGCACTATTTTCTCTCCAGCTCTTCAGGAAAGGCAAGTGGCTATTGCACTGTTTCCACATGGAATGTTACTTCTTTGCAAGTTCCCTCTCTGGAGGTTTTCCTGCATTTATCAATTCCTATGGTTCAGAGGCCTTTGTGGTTAAGGTGGGCAAGTTCCTGACAGAGGTGGTTTTCATGCCCCTGCAGTGTTGCAGTTAGAATGATGGCCTGTGCAGTAAGAATTCCTGACTGAATGGAAAAGAGAAATGGTTCCCAGGAAAGTAATGTTTATGGTGGTCTCAGGATTCTGATCTCCACTCAGCCCCCAAGTAGTCAGTGCATTTGCCACTTGCAGCAAGGCAAGCCATGATTGTGGCCCTTCAGATGGGCACTTCTTAGGAGCCCCTGATCTTGGATTCACTGTCCAGTCTGGAGAGTTCCTAACAAGAGAGGAGGCATTTTGGTTGTGAATCGGTGATCAAGCCTGCATAACACTAGAGGAGAGGACAGAGTTAGGATAAGCAGCCTAGCTGCAGACCCATAGGGCAAGGCTGAATTTATGAAATATACCAAAATATTTGAGATATTTGAAAATATAGAGCAACAATTACCATGGCAAGGACCATGTGTGATCAGCTAACATGGTCCCAAGGGATAAAGCAACTATAATTTAGTTTTATTTAGACAAGAAGGAATTTGCTGGCTAAGCAAGCAGCTCTGCCCCACAGCAGCTTTGTTGTGGTGCATTCATGATAAGCCCAGCTTAAAGCACATCCCAATAAACTTGTTCACCAGCCAATGTGCATAAATGCCTTGCTGAGTCAGCCTAGGAGAAGAAAACTGCTGATGGAAACAAGGTGTCTATTCTGTCTTCCTCTTTGCAATCCTGCCACATCTTCTACAGCAACATAGGCAGCACTTGAAAAGAATGAAGACAATAGTGGCTATACAGGTGAACAAGAATGCCAGAACATCCAGAGAGTGGTACTGGTACCAGGTGAGATGGTGAGCAGCTGGTCTCAAGTGCTTTGCTCCTTTGTGACGCATCACAAATTCAATCCAGAAGACAGCTCTGTCCAGAGGCTTAACAGGCTGGTCATGCTGTATCTTGGATAACTTTAGAGCATTTTCCTTATAGCTGGGGAAAAAAACCAAGCAGAAACCAAAGAGATTTTTCACTTATTTCTGAAATAAACCATTTAACACCTGGCAGTCCCCTTGAGGAAGGTAGACAGTCCTGCTTTTACTTTCGTCAGTCTTATTTAAATATATTTGAAGCTGGTCCAGTTTATTCCTCTATGCGTAAAATTGGGTTAAAAATAGTAATAGAGAAAGCCAGTATTTTACAAAATAGTTATTCAAAATTATTCCAGATACTCCTTTAAAAAAAAATTGAAACATTTACAGCATTTCTGTTCCAGTATAATAGAGTGTGCTGATTTAGGCTGGGATAGAGTTAACATTTTTTGTAGTAGCTGGTGTGGGATATTTTTTGGATTTGTGCTGGAAGCAATGTTGATACAGTAGGGATGTTTTCCTTACTGCTGCGCTTATACTGAGTCAAGGCCTTTTCTGTCTCTCACACCACCCCACCAGTGAGGAGGCTGGGAAAGCTGGTCCCAGCTGACCTGAGGGGATTCCAGACCCTATGGTGTCAGGCTCATGAACCAGCTGCCATCCAGGTTGTTACAGATCGCCTCCACCATGGCTGAGTCCCTCAGATACTAGATATCTCCATCAGTGCTGGCCCATTTGATTCAGGAATTTGCAGGTTCTTACTTGAAGGAGCACCTGTCCTTCACACTGGATGGGAGTTGCTGCTAAAGATTGAGGACTTCTGCATTTTTCCAATCCGTTTGTCTGTGGTCTTATCCTTAGCAAGCGATCCCAGCTGCTGGGCTTCCTTCTCCTCTGAGTCCTGACTGATAGGTACAATAACCTAAGAATACTGCTAAGTCAGGGGTAGGAAAAAAAACTGTTATGACTACAGGCAGCTGAGATCTAATAAAACTAGAATTATGTCCTCCAGAGGATTTACACTAGTAGAGAGCTCTCAAAAGCTCCTCTGAAGTTTCCAAGATCTGTTTTTCTCAAAGCACTCATAAAATGCAGTATAAGGAAAAGCCAATTACTTATCTCTCCTTTTTGAGAAATACTGATTCTCAGACAGGAAAGATGGCCTTCATCTGAAATCCAAACATCAGCTATTCGTTTTCCATTCCCAGAAGAGCCAGCAGAATTTTTCACATGAGCAGCCCAGGATTTTAATGACATCTACTTAAGGCAAGCGTACTGTAAGACAAGAGCAAAACTCACGTGGAATTGTAAATTACTGTGTTCAGTGCATCAACCAGATCCTGTGTCTTCATTGTGTTGAAATCCACCTGAACTGCAGCTCCTTTTGCTACCATGTGAGCAAGGTTGTCATGCTGGTCAGCAAACATGGGAATCCCAACCATTGGGATCCCATGGTAGATGGCTTCATAGAGCCCATTGGTCCCACCATGTGTAATAAAGGCCTTTGTCAAAGGATGGCCTGGAACAAAGAAGGAGAGGGGTGTGTTACAGCAGCTGTGGCAGGCTGCATTCACTGGGGTGTGAACACAGCATAGAGGGGACAATGCACTGCTAGAGAAGGGAACAGCCCTGACCTCTGGATCAGCAGCAGAGCTTGCATGCTTAGCTTTCACACAGTCAAAATTATTTTAACACAACATGTGAATCAGCACATCCCTGCAGCCTACCCCACAGTTACTTCAGCCCTTTGCTATTGTGCAGTTGTAGTTTTCACACGGTATCAGGGTCAGAACAGACCCGTGCTTCAGCCTTGCTTAGGTCAAGCATTTTGAAGAATGAGTTGTGGAGGTGAACCGCAGATGCCAAATCCAGCTCCAGAGTACATCTCTACTTTGGTCTTTACTCCTGCCTACGGGTACTTATGAGCCCTTCAGACAACTGCCACCAAGCTCTGTAAGTCAGAGCCTTTTAGGAGACAGAGGCTCCCAAGAGCAAAGCTCTGCAGCTTAAGCTGTGAAACTAAGTATATCCACAAGCATTACACGGTTCTGGCTAGACTTAACCATTCTAGTGGAAAGAAGAAAGGAAACAGTTTTTCCAAGCGTGCAATCCATCCCACATAGAAACAGTCCTACCAAGCAGGTCATTTTGTGGTATCCAGTCAAAAATCCTGGTGTTGGAGCCCAGAGTTTCTGGTTTTTTCCCTTTGTACCTCCAGAGAACCTTGAACAATGGAAGAATAAGATAAACACAGTGCATGTGATGTGCCTTTCTGTATTATTACATGTAATTTAGAGCTTTATCTGAAACCCATATATCTTTTCCAAAAATTTAGATAGCTTTGGCTGCAGTTGAACTCTTTGAGTGGTTATTATGTGCTAATAAAAAAAAAAATGCATGGAGTGATTTTTGTATTTTGGCCTGTAGATGCACCTCCATGTCATTTGGGTCAGAGGAGGTGAAACACCCCAACTCCCCATGAAGTAACTCAGCTGTGTGTCTCTCTGAGAGAACCCAGCTTCCTGGCTGTATCACATCCAGCAGGGATCCAGGTAAATAACAGGCCACTCCAGACATAAAAGGGGGTGAAAAAAACAAGGCAACTTGTTTGAGGATTGAAAAGAAATTCACCTTCTGTGGAAGCTGGCTGAGGGCTTTGGCAATCACATTACTTTTTTCATCACTTAGGCTGTGGACCATTGACCCAAGAGTGAATACGATGACTCCATGTTCCCCTGAGCTCTGAACAAATTCTTCCATTTCCTAGGAGAGGCAGAAAACATACCAGGGGTAATTACACAATGCAGATTTCACAGATTTCTGTGAATAGAGAGCATAACCTTTTCAGCTTATTCAGGAAATGATGATGCTGTGAACGCCTCCTGACAGACTGACAGGTCAGTCAACAACTGACCTGGGCCTGTGGAAAACAGTGGGTTTCTCCCAAACGAGGAGCAGGACAAGTTAAGACAGGTGACAGTTGCTTTGTCTTTCTGAAAGCAAGTTTTGGGATTCATTTCAAGCAGCAGGAATGAATCCTGGCATTATCACGAGCAGGCCATACATACTCTGTGACGCTCTCCTTAGCATGATCATGGTTCTGGATTTTACTGGAACAAGTACTTTGTATTACATAGCTCTGCTGAAACCTGAGAGGGTGTTTCAGCATCCTGATCACAGATTCACCAAGTTGGTGCTGTCACTTTGCTAGTCGGACAGTTCTCATTTCTTACTATGTACCACATTGCTCAAAACATCATCTACAAGTCAGAGCAATAGGTTTTCCTGTTCCTTTTATTAGTTAGTATCATGTGAACTGGAGCAGTAACATGCAAAAGAGAATGGTTATCCATTTTCCCCAAGCTCAACCCATGCTACAGGGGAGTGGGAAGAGAGTTAGAAGGTTTCTTTTAGTAGAAAACTTGCACTGAAGATGGCCTGTATCTTCCAAGGCTCCTACAGGAAAGATATTCCACACCAGAGCTTGTCATGTTGTCATCTTCAGTATTTGGGAGTTTCAAATTCCACCTGAATACTTCAAGTCACAGAGAGCATAAGCTGGAGATACTCACTGCATTACTCCCTTTAAGCTTTCTTAAACTAAGGTACAATAGAAAAAGTGTTTATCACTCATCTATTTCTGCAAGTTTTGACCCCGTTTTACCTAAAGAATTTGTCTTGCCACAGTGCCTTCTGGCATCAGGTATTTCAATGTTATCATAGGCTGCAAGTCTGCGTCTTAGAATTAAATATTACATTTAAGTACCCTGGGGTAGCATCTATTTTCTCCTAAAGCAGACACTCTATTACCCTGTGCTGACATCCTCTTTTGAGACAGCAGGCTGTAAACCAGCCCTCAGTTTGGACAAGGATGGACACATGCTAAATAACAATGAGCTTTCCCAAGACAGGGCTTGCGTGGTTATCAGCGAGAGAAACAGTCATTGTAACAAACGAGCCAACAGAAAAATGAGGTTGGGATACCTTTGGTAATGGTTTTGCAGGCTGGCAGTGAAGTCCTCCAACAAACTCAAAGTTGGGCAAGAAAGGGCGTGGAAATTCAAAGTCCCAGTATGTTCTGATTAACCAAATCTCTGCTTTCCCCATCGTCTCACACAGGGTTGTGGGCCTTCCTGTGGACAAGGTACAAGAGGTTTACAACATGCACCGAAGCGACCTTGTTTGCTCTGGATTGTGAAACAGGAGCCTTACCTTTGTCTTTTGGCACTCCCAATCAGCATAGTTTATCAAACCATGCATAAAATGAAAACATCAACTAATCTGGATCTATTCCTTGCCCTGACCTGTGTTCAGCTTTAGGAGGTGGCCAGGAGCACAAGGTACAATCCTTAAAAGGATTTTGAACCTTCGTGATTACTTTAGAGAAGTACAAGCGAGAAGCTTTTAGTATCTGATATAGAAGTGCAATTCTTGTAGTGCTGAATATTACCTGTGCTTGTAGTAAAAACAGAGCACACTTGAGAAAGAGAACAATCACAGAAAATTTAGTTCCAAATAAAACATGAGTGAATCAGAGTGATGATCACCTGTCAGGAAGGAGGAAAGTTTTTAAACAAAGTTCTGTAGCATTTTTCAAATGGTGACTCATTTAGCAGCTGCTCAGATAACAATAAAACACCGGTACAGACATCTCTAGTATTCTTGAGGACTGGGTCAGCTGCTTCTGACACATATTGGGAAAAAATTGGCCAACTTCATAGATACTTTTAATATCATTTTACGCAATATCCAATATTTCTAGAAATCCATCCGAAAAAAATATCTGTTGGTAATCTGATGCTTTATAGTTTACCATTTGGAAAAATATATATTCTTAGGTAGATGTTGCAAGTTTTCTTTGCAGTATTTTCTCCACAAAGTTAAACTGGGGCATAAAAGGGTTTGAAGTATTGAGAAACAGTTTTCCAAAGCCAGCCTAATGCAAGCAGGAATCAAGCTAAATAAGCAGCAAAGTAAAAATTATCCATAGGGCATCTTCTTACAGTAGTTGATAAGTATAATAATCTACACCAGTGATTTTTTATTTATATTTAAATTAGAGAGCAGTGAATCAGTTATAAAGTTGCTGAAGTGAAAATTAAGTTCGCATTACAAGTAGAGTGATATAAAGGTGTAACTAAATCTTTATGTTGGATTAAAAAATTAAATCCAGCAAAGAGGGACTAGTTTTCAGAGCACAAAAGTGTTCTTTGCAAATGCAGGAAAAGATTGGACAGAAACAGAAGAAATGCCCTTGTGTTTGCTGTTCACTTGTTATCTGCCTAAACTTAGATACCCTGGAAAATATTCAAAGTCCATTGTACTAAAACAAACTCTTTGTTAAATGTTGAATCAAGCCTGAGTTGTACTATGTTGGAGTAAAATTTTCGGGTATGTTGTAATTTAAGGAGACTGTTTCAAACTCTGAATGGTGGATGAAAGGGAAAGGTGACAGCCTTTATTGTTGAGAATCTGAATTCACACTCAGCAACCTGCACTATGCAGAATTGCAAGATACTTCAGGATTGCCACCTCTGCTTGCCTTTGAGAAAGAGTATTTTGAGACAACAGCATGATGGTCCCAAAGCATTCAAAAGGCACAACCTATGCAAGAAAAGAAACCACTCAACAGCTGCCTTACCTAAGACATTACTGTAGTACCCATCCCATTCATCTCGCCAAAACTTCAGGAAAAATAAATCCGTGAAAATATAAAAGAGGAAGTTCTGTAGTCTTTCCACAAAGGACATGTGGTGTGTGAGCCCCATTGTGCTGGCAGGCACATAGGAAGGTGGGGACGGGAGCCCACCGCACAGCCGCTCTACCACATTCCCCTCTGAGAAGCGGAAGCTGTAGACAAAAGGGATCTCTAGCATTTCTGCTACAAGCTCCCCGCCTACAGACAGGGGGTCAGCGATCAGAACATCAAACTTGGCCTGCTGCAGCTTTGCTATCAGCTGAGAGTTCATCACCAAAGTGTCACAGGTCTGCTTTGACATATTGGTAAAGACCTCCAATTGCTCTTTCATCTTCCACATGATCTCCCAGGGGAAGAGATTAAAGGCTTCATTCATCCAGAAATTGAGGAAGTCTTCCATGGAGGCATCAAGGGTCTCCTGGCTAAAGGGGACTTGCAGGACCTCAAAAGTGAAAGGCGAGGAGGTGTCCTGGTAGTTGATGAGCAGATTGCATGAAGGCACCAGCACAGTCACTTCATGACCCCGTAGAACGAGCTCTTGCAGAAGCACTTTCACATTGATCCAGTGGCTGGCATCGGTGGGCCAGACCACCACCCTCCCACAAAAAACATAGCTGCAGCAGCATGTGTAGGCCCAGAGCAGCCAGGGGAACTTTGGCCCCAACATTTCAGCATTCCACGTACAACTCTGCTCTGACTGAACTGGAAGCAGTTCACGGCTTCACTGTGCAAATATTTTAGAGTCAGCCAATTACAAGTGGCATTTGTTTGGTGACTAGGCTGGCAAACGTGACAAGATTGGCAAACATCATAACACAAAGCAACATTCATGGGAGGGCTGGGCAAGCGGTAAAACCCATTCTGGAGTGTTCTGCAGAGCCACAGCTGATCTCAAAATTACAGCAGCTCCTATCTGCTCACCACAAAATGCATTTTGCAGCGTGTGAAGACCAGAAGCCTTTTCCTTGTGTTGTGGTTTAATCTTGATAGGCAGCTAGGCACCACAGAGCCTCTAAATCTCCCACAGTAGGAAGAGAAAAGGAAGGGCAAAAGTTAGAAAACTCATGGATTGAGAATGAGACAACTTTTTTTTAAAAAAAAAAAAAAAAGGAAAAAGGAAAAAAGAAATAGAGCAAGAAAACCAAGTGATGCAAAAAGAACAGTTGCTCATACCAGCCAATGACCAGTGAGTCCCTGAGAAACATCAGCCCTGACAAATTTCTTCCCCATGTCTTTTATTTTGCTGAGCACAAAAGCATTATGGGCTGGGGTGAGTTGGGGTCAGCTGTCCCAGCTGTGTCCCCTCCCAACTTCTTGTCTATCTCCAGCCCCCCTCTGGTGGGGTGGGCTGAGAGGCAGAAAAGGCCTTGACACTCTGTAAGCACTGCTCAGCCCTAATTAAAACATCCCTGTGTTATCAAAACTTTTCAGCTCAAATCCATCATGCAGCCCATGCAAGCTAACCAAACAGGTATTGCACTTGGAGCCTTAAATGCTAAACCTTGCAGTTCACAATAAAAAAGACACCACAAGATCCAAACAGCTCTGAGGCTTACACAACAGACACCAAACTGTGCTTCAGCCAGCACAAGATTTTCTAGTCTTCGTCATCATAATATGATAAGAAACAAAAAGGCACCGCTAGATACTTTTAAGAGTAGGATACCTTAACAACTTAGCTCTCTCAGCTAAATTGTTACTCAGAATTACACCTTACTAGTGAAATATAAATAAAACCACTTTAAAGTCTCATATTGAAATACCCATTTTATCTCCCCACTAGCAATGCGTATGTTTGGCCTGTTACTTTTTAAGCATCACGTAGAGCAAAAATGGAAAAACAATTGTACAACTATTATTTTTTTAAAAATTAAAAACCACTTACAAATAAATATAACTATAATAGTTTTTCAGACACTTTCAGAAAAGCAAAGAACCATGTCTCTGCAGATGGCTTTTTATCACTGTGAATTTGGGCTCATCTAATCTCCTGGATTTTTAAAGGTCCAGATGAGGATATTGCCTCTAATTTTGAGACAAGGTAGCAAGAAGTGTGCTGTGGGAGAAAAAGTAGTGGTGTTTGTTGGGTATATAGTATTTTACTGTTCTTAGTTTATGTCATGATTTATCTATGAATATGACTAGTGAGCCCTGTTTCAAGTGCTTTAGCACTGTTTTACAGTGTACAACAGTACTTGTACAGACTTAGCTCTACCTCTGTAGCAGGTCAGGATTAACAGGCAATGTTTGTACTTGCCTGGATTGCTTGACTTGATGCAGGAATTTTGAAAGGAGAGTGCATTTGGGGCTGTCGTTCTCCTGATTTGTGCCTTAACCTCTCATCTCTGGGAATTTACTCTTGTACGCACAGCAGATGTAATTTCTGGAAAGAGACCAGCCTTACCTAAAACTTCACTGTAGTATTGATCCCAGTTTGCCCAGAGAACGTAATGAAACATGAAATCTTGCAGAGCATAGCCGAGGATGTTTTTTAGCCTTTGCCAGAAGGTCATCCTATCTGTTAGGCTGGTTAGGGTGGTTGGTACATAGGAAGGAGGTGCTGGGAGTGTTCCACAGAGCCGCTCCACCGTGTTGCCCATGGAGAACCGGAACGTATACACAAAGGGGATACCCAGCTTCTCAGCAACCAGCTCCCCACTGGGAAACAGTGGGTCTGCCAAAAGAAGGTCGAAGGCAGATGCCCTCAGTCTTTCCATCAGGGCCTCATTCTTCACAACTCCATCACAAATTATTTTGGTTATGTTCTTCATCTGCAACATCATTTGAACTATCTTGTGAGTACCTTTCCAGATAGGTAGCTCTTTCTCCTCATAAAAAAAAAAATAAAACATTTTATCCATTAAGTCAGTCATCTCCTTTTTGGTGATTGGCACCTCAATCACCTCAAACTGGAAGGGTGAGGGCTTGGTGGGATTGACGATGAGGAAGCACGAAGGCAGCAGCACGGTCACCTCGTGGCCCCGGGCGACAAGCTCCTGTAGTATGTTCTCCATGTTCAGCCAGTGGCTGTTGTCAGCTGGCCAGACCAGCACCTTCCCCCCAGACCCCCAGCCCAGCACGGCCAGCAGCACCAGGAGCACGGCCACCTCCTTCCCTGCCATAGCCTGCCCTGTGTGGCAATGCCTCTGTGAGATTCCTTCACCGGGAGCAGTGGCACTCCTGAACTGGGCTGGGAGTTGACACTGCCTTGATCCCAAGGGCAGGGAGCCAAAGGTAGGCGGTGTGAAATCCTGTACTGGATAATGGCACGTTTAATATCATGTTTACCTAGGGCACAAAAAAGGTGACTGGCACCAGCTGGCACCCTCTGGTGGTAAGCAGCTTGCTGAAGCTGGAAGATGCGATTCCTCTGGAGCAGCAGAGAAAGCCATCAGCCCTGGGGGGCTCAGTCCAGCAAGGATTGTATCCTGATGGTAATCCTGTCCCTCCTGCCCATCTAACTACAGGTTCTGTGTTACTTGTTTGGTAGAAGAGCTAACTTTTTCATTCTTCTGGCTCTTTGAAACACAGCTGGGTAGGCAGCAAAGGTGTTCACTGACTGTGTGGGCAACCTTTTGCTTTTATAAAGCCACTAAGCATTCCTTTAGAGCGTACTTAAGTTGTTGATCCGGGGCTGCAGCCCAAGAGTTGCATCTCAAATGCATGAAACTACACAGCAAGTTACACCAGTAACAGAGTAAGACCGTCCTCATGTGAACTTGCCTCTTACAGAGCACCGTGGGAGACCAGGAGGGGATAGTGCAGGCTTCCTGCCTGCCATTAAGAGTCAATTATGCACTATAAATTGATCCAGAAAATCCATCAATTTGATTTATATGGTCTCTCCTGATGTGCAGTTAAGAAATACTGTAAGTTCTCTTTTCTGTGCAACAGAATCATCATTACAGGGTTTCTGCCCAGTGCTGTTACACAATGGTTTCCTAGTGTTGTCATCCAAGGCTTTTGGTATGGTTTTCATGCTGCCTAGACACCCTTTCTGGGACAAAAATGTGGGTCATGGAAGGTCACAGCTGGACTATGAGGAGCCAAACTGAGATACCCCATGTACTGTATCCATGACACTAGCTTGGTGTACTTGTGGAGTCTTGCATCATGCAGGTATTTGCAGGCAATTGAACACTGAGAGATTTGCAAGAAGTCTTATTGAAGAGCTCAATAGGAAGGTAGTAGAAATGACATGTGATTAATAATAAACATGTTTTTCTACCTGATCACTCAAAACAGTCCAGAAGAAAAGCCTGCAGAGAAAGGTTTGTTGTTTTCAGTTTGCTTTGTGGGTAGGAGGGTATGTGCTAAATAAAACTTGTTTTGTGCAGAGAGAATTGGTTTTATATGACCAATGACATAAGTGAGGTCTCTATTACAAAGCCACAATGCACTTAAATATTGCTAATGAGGCTGACAAGGCTGGCTTGTAATTCACCAGCTCTCCCCTCCTTGTTATGGTCCTCTGGATGAGGAAAATGGCTCTGTTCTTGGCTGCTTTCTGTGCAAGCAGTCACCCTTGCTGAGAGCCCTGTATGGTGTGGAAGTCATATCAAACTCCACGCTACAATTATGACAAAAGTCAAATCCGTCACTTGGAATGGCCCTGATCCTGTCTGTATGCAATGGCATAGCAGGACAGCACCCTGACTGTTTGTGGCTCAGCTCCTTTTTAGGGACAACAGGCAAACTCTTGCTGACCTTCCTCTTGACTTTGTGACCCTGGTGGGTTCCTAGCTCTGCAGATCATAAGGACAGACGGTATAACGAAAAGTGAAGTGTCAGAAGGCTTACCTAAGACCTTGCTGTAGTAGGTATCCCAATGTCCCCAGTAGCTCTGAAAAACATAGTCTTGCAGGTGGTAAGACACAAAGTTTTTTACTCTCTCCCCAAAAGACATGCGGTCTGTAAGCTCAGACAGGGCTGCAGGTGTGTAGGATGGTGGGGCAGGGATCTTGCCACAGTGCCTTTCCAGAGTGAAGGCTGGGGAGAACCGTAGTGAGTAGACAAAGGGAATGCCCAGCTTGAGCGCCAGGAGCTCCCCACAGGGGGTCACAGCGTCTGACAGCAGCAGGTCAAAGCCAGAGCCCTGCAGACGAGCCATCAGCTCTTGGTTGTTCAGCACTGCGTCGCACATCATCTTGTTCATCTCCTGCCAGCCTATGGACAGTCTTCCCAGCTCCTGGTAAAACCGCCAGAAGGTCAAGATGGTTGGCCTGTGGTTGAGCCACAGGTCCACTATATCATTAATCAGGGCTTCAGGTAAATCTTTCTCGTAGGGCACGTTATAGATCTCAAACTTCTCCGTGGTCTTGGGTTTGGGTTCAATGAAGAGGCTAGCATTGGCTACCAGGATGGTAAAGCTGTGCCCACGGCGGATGAGCTCCTGTACCATTACATTCATGTTCAGCCAGTGGCTGCCTTCTGTTGGCCAAACCAGTACCTTCCCACAGAAGACAGGCCCTAGAAGAGCAATCTGAAAAAGCAGCAGCTGGAGGTATTTCTTTGAGCCGGTTGTTTTCATGGCCATGGCAGAGTCAGGGGCTAGATAGTCCGGGAATTTTTCCTTCCAGCTGGGAGTTCTGTGCCTCTGTGTTGTGTTTGATGGCTCCTTACTAGCACTCTTAGCAGAAGAGAGACTTTGCTGTTGCACAGGTAGTGCCTTTATAACCTGTGTTTTGTCTGAGCTCTGAAAAAAAAAAGTTTGGTGATTCATTTTTCCCTTTCTGCCTTCTACCCTGTTAGCTTCCCACTGAGGGAGTTCTGTTCTCCTGTTAGGAGGATGATAGCAATCCTCCCTGCTGTCAAAGAAGCCAGTCCCCTGGATGCCAACCCTGAGGCTCAAACAATTTCCTTGCATTTTTTCCATGAACTAGCAATGCCAGAGGCAGGCCAAGGAATAAGAGGCCAAAGGGCTGACTTGGAAGTGTTATCCTTTTTCACAGTGAGATGCTAAAAGTGCTGATATTTCTTATGCTGAGAGAAGTCAACAAATCCTTCCTTTGGTTGATGATAATGCCAATAATATCATGCATTTATTCTAATAGGTCACTAGTAGCTTCCAGCTGCTCCCAAATAACAATGGACAATGAGTCCATTGCTACTGCCTGTGACACATCACCATCAACCTGGTCATGCTGTGGGCTCAGTTCAGATATCAAAACACGGGTTTGGTCCTTTTCTGGGCCCTAAAGAGCAAAACCTACATCATCTGGGATGGCTCTCACTTGGAAAGTTGTCCCTTGAATATAAACACCATGCCTGGAAGCAGTTCTTTAACCACCTGGAGCCAAAATTACAACTAAAACCCACACATACAATGACACACTCAATCCAACACAATCTGGGGAACAAATGCCATACAGCAAAAAACTCTTACCTAGCAGAGTCTTCCGATGTACATAAACATTGTGCTCTGAGTTGCAAGGTGCAATATGCTACACCTGTTTGCTGCTTTTCCTTGCTGCTCCCCTCCTCTGTGCCTGGGCTGCTTTAGCAGGATTGGTTATCAGGCAGAAGGAGCTTAAGTAAATTACCCTCTGAACTGGACTTTTCAAAAGGAGGAAGTAATAAAATACGGGATGATGGCAACAAGGCATGGATTCTGTACTTGTTCATTGCTTTGTTATGCACTGGGAATTTAATGGTTGAGACGGTATTTCCCTTGCCAGGATATACTATAATGTTGTTACAGAGCCAAGTTCTTTGGAAGTCTTTGTATGCTAGAGATAAGAAATATGGTGTCTGACTGCTAAAAATATTTTTTTACTCCCTTTATGGTCCCAGGTTTGTTACTATGTCACAAACAAAATTGTTTGTTACATAGTAGATATGTATATAAACTGTCAATGGGAACAGAGTGAATCTTGTGGTTTGTTGCAGAGGTTTTCAAAAGTTGGTGTTGTCTGTGCAAATTTCCAAAAATTGGTATGTTACCTGTGTTGGCTCTGTGGCCCTTGATTCTGGAGATCTAGGCAAGTGTTTAATAACCTGAAAATATAGGAATCTAAAGGTGCATTTCAATGATTTTTAAGTATTGTCCACAATATTCAACAGGGATTTTTCTAAACCTTCAGAATCCAGGACTATTATGCCAGCATGTTTCAACCATAATTTGGGCTTACAGCCAGGACTTTCACTACAGTCTCTCCACAGACCTCTGTATCCAGAGTAAGATTTTTTTTCAGGCTAATATCGCTTATTTTATGAAGTCCTATAAGAAACTTATAATTTTCCCAGCAGCTACTGAAAGGCCATGTTCATATGGGCTAGAGCAGATCACAGAGCCATAGAATCCATCCCGAGCTGGAAAGGACTCACAAGGATCACTGAAGTCCAACTCCTGTCCATGCAGAGGACAGCCCCAAGAATCACACCATGCCTGAGAGCATTGTCCAAATGTTTCTTGAACTCCCTCAGGCTTGGTGCTGTGACCACTTCCCTGGGAAAAAACCTTAGATGGGAACTTGTTTTTTGTTTCCAACCCCTTAGTATCAAATTCCTCCACAGCAAACAAGAGCAATTGCTAGGGGAATCAAAGAGTTAAAATTGTTTTGTTTCCATGGCCAGCTCTAAAGATGATACTCAGATTACTCAGATCAGAGAAAATAACGCATTTTGAGAGGATTAAAGTACAAAATCTAGCACATGAGAGAGAAGTGGAGCAGAAGAAAGTAGATGGTGTTAAGTGTCTGTATTTCACACATCTAACATTACTAACAGAAGTGCTGCAAACAGTGATGCAACTTCCAGCCTTGTTAAAAAACAACAGGCTTTTCAAGGCTAAGGCCCTCATGCAAAAGTTAGGCAATGCAAACTGATGTTTTCCACACATGGGTCACTTCACCATTGTGCTGGCTGGCTGGGGGCTCCAGTGTGCATGGCACTTTGGTTTCTAGGAAACCCCCATGCCAGCCAGAACCTCAGAAATTCTGGGCCAGGGTGGGGAAGGGGAAAAGGGAAGCTTTTGCCCTGAAGAAGCACCAAATGACTCTGTGCTTTCCCTTTCACTTAATACAATGAAGCAGCTTCTGGTCTGAAAGCAGACTTTAAAAAATCTTCACTAGCTTTTTTTTTTTTTTGGGGGGGGGGAGGGTGTTGCCAGGAAGGGAGTGTACTGAATTGGGAAAATTTCAAAGTTGGCTCATCCCTACACGCAGATGTGACAGGATTGAGTAATTCTGCAAAGTCACATGTGCGTGGGCTCAGTAAAAGCACATATGCTTTGTAATCCCCAGAGTTTAGGGAAACTCCAGCAAAATTAGTGAGATGAAATTGCCTGTGACCATCTTTCTTGAATAAATTGTATCTTTTTACCTCTGCACTGTTACTGCAGGATGAAAAAAACAGGGTAGGTTTATAGGCGCTTGGATTTTTTGATTCATTTTGAGATTCTATAAACTCTCTTCACTGCTGCTGTAATGCTGCAGGGGCACCTTGGCAGGTAAACAACAGCAATCAGGGTGACTGGCATGGGAGCCATTTCCACTCTGAAAGCCAAAACATTAAAGAAGTGAGAGAAGGTTCAGGCCAAGCTTGGTGTCCCTGCTAGGAATCTGCATTGTTGGTGGAAGAATAGGTGCTGCACCCTGTCCTTGCCAGTGAGGAGCAGCAGCTGCAGACTTGCCCAAGCCTCCTGCAGATGTGGCACACTCCTATCTTGCCAGATGTGGCACACTCCTATCTGTCCAACCTCCCAGGGAAAGCTGCATGCTATGGTGATGGGCAAATCTACAAATCCCATGGGTATGGACATGATGAGACTCATCTAGACCAGCCCAAAAGGGAGGAGTTGCTCTCTCCATTCCACCTTTTCATGAATGTTTGCTGTTCATGCTCCCATGGCAAGCCTTTCCCCGTGACTTTCCCACTCATCCTGCCAATCGTTTGTTTTAGTGGGAGAGTTGCTGCTGAGGCAGGAAGGATCTGGGGAAAGAGCAAGGAGGCTATCAGCCAGGGCAGCCTGGTCACCATTCCAGCCTGGGGAGCAGCAGTGGTAGCACCAGAGGGCACCGCTGCCATGGCTGCACCCACTGCTGGGAACAGGATCCCAACTGCAGTGACAGGAGCACACCCAGAGCCCCAGCAAGGACAGGGGCCCCAACAACGTGCCAGCATCACCCAGAGCAAGCACTTCTTCCCTTGCCTCAGCACCCTGGGGAGCAGGGAACTGGAACTGAACGCTGCCATCGCCTCGGTCTCAGTATCCCTGGGGATATTGCAGGAGACCCCAGAGCAGGTGAAGGTTTAGGGGTGATGATTGCACTCCAAAGTACCCCAAACCCACCACCCAGGACCGCACACATGCAGCTCTGTGCAGCGGAGCGTGGGCAGAGCACCCAGGCACACCCATCTCACCTAAGACCTGCTGCTCTGCGCCGGGAGAGTGACACGAGGAAGGTGACGCCAGGAAGGTGATAACAGGAGGGTGACAGCAGCAGTTTTTAAGGGCAGAGAGGCAGGGTGCTGAGGGCAGTAATGTTTACCAATGCTGTGGCTGCAGGGAAGGGAGGAGCAAAGGCAGGGAGAAACCAGCAGCCACTGACCTGCAGGCAGGGCCACAGAAGACATCTCAACCCCACCAGTACTGCTCTTCCCCAGGTCCCAGGAAACATCCTGCTGTGTGAGGGGGGGGGAAGGAAACCAACATGATCCCCACATGCAGTTTGGTCAAAAGCTCCTGCGATCCCATGAGCTGCTGCTGGCAATCCCCCCACCACAGCGGCTGAGGGGTGACACCTGCTTGTCCCAGCCCAAGAAGGGAACAGCAGCCCCAGGGAGACACCTGGGTTGGGACCAGCAGAAGCTCAGGACAGTGAGCAGCACCCCATGGCAGGGTCAGGGAGCACATTTTATTTCTCTCCAGCACTTCCAGGGCAGGGAAGCAACGGCAGCAGTGCCACCGCAGCACAGGGCGGATCTGGGGGGCGTCCGGCGGCGTCCCCTCAGATCTGAGTGCGGAAGCACAGGTCGGTGCCTGACATCTTCTGCGCATAGTCCTGCTCAAAGCGCTCGTTCTGGGCCACGGTGAAGTGGTTCTTCCAGTCCCCGGTGGTGCCTGTGGCCGGGAGAGATGGGGCTCAGCAGGGGCCGGGGCAGGCAGCGCACCAGGCCCCTGCAGCGGCTCACCTTTGCGCATGAAGGGCGACACGCTCTGGTCCATGAGGTCAGAGGGAATA